TTCACTTTAATCATTTTACAAGGTGACATTCTGGTAACTGGGTGGTATTAGATGTTGCTACTTGTTCTTTATGAATATGAGAAAGCAGTTCAGATCACAGACTGCATTCCCAAAGAAGCTTCTGTCAGGTGTAGGCTCCAGCCAGTGTGTTTTCCCTTGGCCCTTTCTCATACCTAACCCTTTGCATTGCATCTATCCTCACCAGCATCTTCATAGTGGAAATACCAGAATTTCATTTTGGGAGCTTTCATTTTATGTTGTATTAGTCCCATGGAGGTTACACACCTTATGGCACTACTCATATAGGCTGCTTATCTAGTATGGCAGAGGTGGACCCCACCCCTGGTGATTCACCTCCAAAAACCTGTGCCTGAGGTGAGTGCTGTGAACCATGGGCTGGAGGTGCTTGTTCTTCTATTCTTGCCTGTGTTCTTTTGCTCTCAGTTGTAACAGCTTCATTTCTTCCTTATCAGTCTTTCGGAGGAGATTTTTTTTTTTAACCCCCTATATTTGAAGATTATTTTTTCAACAGGTACTAATATTTAAATAATTTTACATTTGAATGTCAGCAGTGCTTCTAGCAGCTATTGTTGTTTCTAAATGGGTGACCATCTCTTTCTGATTTTCATTGTATTGCAAAGTTGCACAAACATTTGGCACAAGCTCAGTTTCTGAAGCAGCCTGGTGACAGTAGAATTGTACTGGGATGAACAGAGCCAAGTAGGCTTACATGGGAGTAACATCAGAACAAAATTTGGCCTGGTTACTTCATCTCAAACTTTGTTTACCTGAGGTCTTCTGGGAGGTTGTACTGAATCCATTTAAAAAGAAATGTAGTTGCATAATTCTGTTATTTTCATGGCATTTTAATGCAGTATTCTGGATAAAGGATGATACTGCCAGTGGAATAAAAACAATAAATTACAGTTTAGAAAATAATTTAGCTTATTAATTTATCCTCTTTGCCTCAGAGTGTCCATAACCACAGAGTGGTTTCTTCAGATGGTCTTGCTGTTTGTGCTAGATGACTTTTTAAAGTTAACCTCTGCCTCCATAGTCTGTGAATGACTTTACAATTAATTTAACTCTGTCAAGTATTACAAAAAGATGAATGTTGCAGCTTATATCACAGTGAAAGAGGCTGTGCCTTACCTTTTTCCAGGCTTAATTAAGTGTGCTAAAGCAGTTATTACTGCCCAGCTAACAGACAACAACTTAAGTCATGCTAACTGGATTTCAGTCCAAGTCCCTAATTGTGATTGATCAAGTAAATTATATATGCATTTAAATGTTTTTCTCTGCTCAGTGGGTCAGGAAATGTAGACAGTACTTCTGGGTGGTGCATTAGACAAGTATTTGCCCTATGATGAGTAGAGAAATTAAAACACTTTAAAAATCAGTGAAATGTTGATCCTGAGCTGAAGGTTGTTATGGCTTGTTATCCACAGCATTTTAGAAGCACTTAGGTGTAAAAACCTGCACGTGTGTAGCTTGGATGATTTGTAGAAGTTCTTAACTGTCGGGAAATTAGCAGAAGTAACAGCCCAGGTGTTTGTCTGCATCATTAGGAGACAAAATCTGGTTCCTGGGCATGGCTGAGTGCCAAAGGAAGATTCTTTAGAGGGAATTTGCTCATAGTTGAATTTCCTGTGTTTGGAACCCTAAAATGGAAATCTACCAAAATCATCAGATTCCTTGGGAAAAAATTACTTTGAGCTCTGGAAATGCTTTGTAGAGTTACCAGGATTTGCATGACCTTTCAGGTTCACAGAAGTGTTTTATCCCTTGTGACTTCACTGTGGGCCCTTTTATTTATGTTCCTTCAAGGCAGAGGAAACCATGATAAAATGTGAACTTAATCTTGAGAGGTTTATGGAGTGTAACTGTGCAGGAAGCAGGAGGTGAGGCTAAGACAACATAGCCATTAAGGAAACTGGTAGAAAATCTGTAGGCATGTGCTCTCTTTTAGTATTTTACACAGCAGATCACAACAGTTGTAAACCAGCTCAACTTTCTTTCTGTTGTGCCTGGACAATCACAGATTAATGCTAACAAAAGATTAAACTGCCCCAATTTGGAGTTACTAGTAGCCAGTACCATTACCAGTACCAAGGTGATGCCATGCTCAAAGATTCAACACATCAAAGAGATATTCTGAAGCTTGTGGTGTAGGATCTCACAGAGAATGGGGACTTTGTGTAGATATTCTGCAAAACATAACTGAGGAAGAGGAACTTTGCTGACAAATTAATGTGTAGTATGGGGATCCACATGGTCACTAACAGTCTCTAAGTGTTTTTTTCCAGAAGAGGTTGGAAACCACAGCATTTTGGGATGTGTTATACATCTGTGGCATAGCTGTCTCAAAGGGGCTGCATCTGCAAACTGTCTCTGTGACTCCCCCTTTGAGAGCTTTAGGGATTTCACAGCGTGCTAAAAGCTAAAATTGCAACTCCCCTTCCAAGCCAGACAATGGGCCTGTGGCCTCACCAACAGTGTGTGACTGCAGAAGCACTGGCTAGAGCCCATCTCTAAATTGTTCTGGGAAGAGTTAGATCCTGTCATTCTGCTTTTTATTCTAAAGTTTGTATCCTTTTCACGCAGCTTTCCTTATGACTGGCTTTTATTTAGCCCTGAAGCTTAACATTTGGAACTTCTATTTGTTGGGTTTTTTTTCGTTATCTTGGAAAATGATGTTCATTCTTCCAGTAAGCATCTTTTCTTCTGTGCCTTGTTTCATTTTATATTCTATATGAATTCTTACCCAGTAGCTCCTTGAGACAGCTGAAGCAATTTAAGCAAACAAGTAACTAACATCTGGTATGTGTTTATTTGCTTTCTTATACTCTCTCCAGGGCAAGAATTGTGTGATTTGTTATGCTTATCAGTTTATTATGTTATCTATATTTGAAGAATATCAAAGAGGTTAATGTTGCACTTCAAGTTGAGATTTGCAAAGTTTGTGGTAGTTCTATGTTCTAGGATATTCATGGCACAGGCCTTGGCACTCCAGGAAAACATCATTTCCAGCTGAGCAGGGTTTTTACCCTTGAGGAAAAAGGGTTCCTGAGTGAGTGAGTGGTTTCCTTGAGTAGAGAGCATGTTGTGCTGAGACAGAAGTTATCATCTGTGGTCATTGACCTGATGCTTGAGTCACTTGTTAAAATGACACAAATTGTTCTGATGGTAACTGGCACAACAATGTCCTGACCATGGCTCAGGAAACAAGGTCTCTGCAAGTCAAACAAGACATTCTTAAGATGATGAAGCTCCTCTTGACATAGTTACAGTGAATCTTTCATACTATTTTCTGTATCACTTATAGTAATAATACATTAAGCAGGTTCCAGCCCATGGTCTTTCTAAGCAAGATACACTTTCTCTTGGTATCTTGCACAAATTATGACTACAGTACCCTCAAAATAAAGCAGTAAGTTATTGCTCATTGAATTTATTATACAGAGCAATTTCATGGAGGCACCATTATGAATATCATCTGCATAATCAATATGGTTTTATGTTGCTGTCTCAACAGTAAGTCAGTGTAGTGTACTAAGAATTTGCTGAGCACTAAGTTCTTGTTTTAGTTATTTCTGAGTAAAACTTGCTTTGTATTTGTCATTATTAGTCATGGTCAGAAGTGCCCCCAGACAGAAGGGTAATGCCTTTAACTTGAGGGAAGGTAGATTGAGATTAGATATTAGGAAGGAGTTCTTTACTGTGAGGTTGGTGAGACGCTGGCGCAGGTTGCCCAGAGAAGCTGTTGATGTCTATTCCCACTACATCCAGAATTGTTCAAGGCTGGGTTGGATGGGCCTCTGAGCAACCTGGTCTAATGAAAGGTGTCCCTGGGCCTGTCAGAGAGGGTAGGAATGAGGTGATCTTTGAGGTCCCTTCTGACCCCAACCATTCTATTGGTCTATGACTCCATGATCTGAGATCTTGCCTGGTTTTTACAGTGCTCACTTACACTGCCAGTGTTCTTGTGCTAATGAATTGCTAGAAGTGGAGATTTTATTGACTAAAATGAATCAATAACTAGAGGTTTTTTTGGGTCTGAATATACTTTGACCTCCAGTCACCCTACTCCAGATTTATGGCTATTTTTTTTTAATTTATAGTGCTATAAAACAGAGCTTGGCTCTAGATTGTAAGTGAAGTGTGGTGATGTTTATCAGATGAGTCTTGCTGCCCTTCTTCTGTGAGATCAATGGTCTTATTTTATGTCTTAATGATTCCTAAAAACTGAAGCCTTGGGAAATGTCTGGAGCAAATGTGTCTCACAACCACTCTATTAGCTAGCAAATATCTGCTTTCAAACTATATCTGAAGTCATTTCCATGTTGTTGTGATTTAATCTCAGCTGGCAGCTCAACCCCATGCTCACATACCCCCTGTGGGTTAGGGCAGGGAACCAGAGACATAAAATGAGAAAGCTTGTGAGTTGAGATAAAAAGCGTTTAATAGGTAAAGCAAAAGTGAAGCAGAAGAAGGAATTAATTCACCCCTTCCCATGGCCAGGCAGGTGTTCAGCCATCCCCAAGAAGGCAGGGCTTCATCACATTTAATGGTGACTTGGGGAGACATCATCACTCAGTGTCACCCTCCTTTCCCTCTTCCACCAGCTCATGCTGAGCATGAGACCATATGGTGTCATCTCTTAGTACAGGGGGATTTTGATACTGTCTTGTCATATTTAAAATGAACTGATTTCCATACTAAATTGAAATAAATTAGCTTAGTGTACATGAATTAGTGTTTAAGTGTCAGAGATCAAAAACATTTGCTCTCCTCATAATCTGGTTATATATAATCTGATGGCAAGTGTAAGAACTGCCAGTTGTGGCTTCATAAAGACTTCTCCTTGGAAGGAAAGCAAGAAAACAGTTCTGTAAAAGTTAACATACTCACTAGGAACTATAACTGCCTTTCGAATTCAGTTTCAGCTGAATTTATAGTAAAATATGGAAACATTTAATAATCCTTCTGTCCATCTGCAGGTATCCACAGTTAGCTGTGGAGGAAAAATTACTTTGAAGGTTCCATCTCTGAAAGCTCTGTTTCCAGAAATGGCTCTTCAACACCAACTTCTCAGCATTTCTGTAGTGGTTGTAGCTATGCTGTGGCAGAATAGGAATTGCTTCTGGAACTGACCAAGGTTGTAAGAGGTTGTGACATTTCATGTGAGTAGGAAGGCAGATGGAAAAATACTTGAGGGAGTGCAGATACCCAAGTGTGTACTACAGCATTCTGAAGTCAGGAATTGAAAAGCTTCAAATGCCGTTTTGGTATGTTTTCAAGAACTCAGAATGCTCTTGTGTGGGTTACCCTGGAAGTAAATGAATTGATATGTTAGCAAAAGTAATTGCAGTCCACATTCAAACAAATAACATTGGGACTAGTGGATTATAAATTTCAACATCATATAAATTAATACAACTCAGCTGAAACTAATTGAAAGAAATTTGCTCAAAACTTTTATCCTAAATGTTTTGATTGACTGATAAGTTTTCTCTTTAAAGATTTTTTGCATCATTAAAGTACATGGACTTCATGACTTAATTTCAGTGTGATAGTAAAACAGACTGATTTGCAGATGAATTTGGCAGTCTTCCTTCACCCTGGTAAAAAGGAGACCTAAACCAGAACCTACTGCTTTCAAATTTGCTGAAGCTGTAAACCAAACTAATTTAAAACTACACCTGTGAAATGTTGAATAAGGGTATTCATAATTTAATTTCTGTTTTTTGTTTTTTCTGCTACACCATTACACAGTAACCAGAGATGGAGAAAAGAATGTGTCACAAGAGCAAAACTGAATTAAATACTCTAACAATATCTTATGTTCTTTTCAGGTTCTATGTAATCTCATTGGGCAACAGCAGTGGAACTCGTCTGTCCAAAATGGTTTATGGTGAATTTTTCCGCAGACCTGGCAAAGATGCAGAACTTATCAATCTGAATGTGGGTGGCTTTAAGCAGTCAGTGGATCAAAGCACCTTGCTCCGATTTCCCCATACCAGACTCGGAAAACTTCTCAAATGCCATTCAGAAGAGGCTATTCTAGAATTGTGTGATGATTATAGTGTGGCAGACAAGGAATATTACTTTGACAGGAATCCTTCCTTATTCCAATATGTTCTGAATTTTTACTATACGGGCAAACTTCACGTTATGGAAGAACTTTGTGTCTTTTCCTTCTGCCAGGAAATAGAATACTGGGGGATAAATGAGCTGTTTATTGATTCCTGCTGCAGCAATCGGTACCAAGAACGGAAAGAAGAAGGTCCTGATAAAGACTGGGATCAGAAGAGCAATGACAGTATGGACTCCTCCAATGAGGAGTCATCCATATTTGATAAAGAGCTAGAAAAGTTTGATAATCTGTGCTTTGGTGAAATAAGAAAGAAGATCTGGGTCAGAATGGAAAATCCTGCATACTGCTTGTCTGCCAAGTTAATTGCCGTGTCATCCCTGAGTGTTGTTCTGGCATCAATTGTGGCCATGTGCATTCATAGCATGCCAGAATTTCAAAGGCTGGATGCCAATGACAGGGAGATTGGAGACCCTGTGCTGGAAGCTGTGGAGATTACATGCATCATCTGGTTTACTGCTGAGCTAGTGATCAGGCTCTTCACTGCTCCGAGTCAAAAGAAGTTCTGGAAGAAACCACTGAACATCATTGATTTTGTCTCTATTATCCCATTTTATGCCACACTGGCTGTGGACACGAAGGAAGAAGAAAGTGAAGATATTGAGAACATGGGGAAAGTGGTTCAGATCCTAAGGTTAATGAGGATATTTCGCATCCTGAAGCTGGCCAGGCACTCTGTAGGACTGCGCTCTTTGGGCGCCACGTTGAGACACAGCTATCAAGAAGTTGGACTTCTGCTTTTGTTTTTATCAGTTGGGATTTCTATTTTTTCAGTGCTTGTCTACTCAGTGGAGAAAGATGATGACTCGTCAGAGCTGCAGAGCATCCCTATTTGCTGGTGGTGGGCAACCATCAGCATGACCACTGTTGGTTATGGGGACACTTACCCAGTCACACTGGCTGGAAAGCTGCTTGGCACCCTCTGCATTATCTGTGGGATCCTGGTGGTAGCACTTCCAATCACCATTATTTTCAATAAGTTTTCTAAGTACTACCAAAAGCAAAAAGCTATTGATAGGGACCAATGCAACAATGATCGGAAAGAGAAAAGCAATGACCTACCCTATTTTAACATTAGGGATATTTATGCAAAAAAGATGCACTCCTTCATTTCCAGCCTTTCTTCAGTAGGAATTGTAGTCAGTGACCAAGATTCAACAGATGCCTCCAGTATCCAAGATATGGAGGATGTTTATAACACAGTATCTTTAGAGAATGGTACAGGAAAATGAGTTGAATCACATTTGCTTCTCATTATTTCTCTTCTGATTCTTGGTAAATGTGGACTGATAAACTTCAGTGAAATCATTAAGAGCAGTCGATTCTCAGGGTACTTAACTCTCAGCCATATTTGGACATTCTTTGCTCTGAGGATGCCATAAAAGCTTCATTCTTTATATGAGGCTTTAAAATATGCCTCATATAGTGGTTTAGTTTTTACACAACTAATGTTATGCATTTTTGGGGACAAAAGTTGGGAAAAGAGTTTTAAATGTGAAATAAGTCTTTTTTTTTGGTTTTGTGGGTATTGTTGTTTGATTTGTTCACTGTTTTTTCCCTTGCAGCAGTCTCATATCTTACACAGAATTTGCATTTATAATTTGCGGCTTTTCAGGTAGAAATGTATTGTAAACATGTAAGAACTATTGCACAAGTTAGTGAAGTTTTTACCTGCAAATACATTAGATAAACAAAGGAATTGTGTACATGTAAAACTGTGCTCACTAACACATTTATGTAATTTTAGATTCGGGAACCTATTGCATAAGTTGGGGCAGAAAATATATTGGTACATATTGTTTTTATTCCATGGAAGCATAATATTTATTAATTTCTTTCCAAAAGCACAATACATTTTTAGTTTGTTAAAATAAATGATTCCCATTGTGCCTATATTTTTCTTAGGATCCAGCCATAGCCAAGCTCTATCAGGTCCTGAAGGTTTTAAGTCATAAGTCCCAGGATGAAGTGTGTGGTGTAAGCAGGATAGGAGCTTTTTGTACCATTTAGCCACCTCTCCTGCTGTTGTGACCCTGAGCAGTTCTGGTGCCTGGAGGGGATCCTGCTGTGATTAAGGCCACCCTGGTGGCATCCCCAAGGACTGTGATTTGTGGGCACTGAGCAAACATCTGTGGTGGTCTTTAGAAGTTACTGCTCACTACTGCCAGTGCAGCTCCTTGCTGGGGGTTGCTGCCTCAGTGGTGGCAGCAGCATCCCAAGGCTGCTGTGCTGGGTCTGTCCAGGGCTGAAGGGCCAAGCAGTGGAGATGTGAGGACGTGCTCTTCTCTGCCATTTGTTGCCCATCAGAGATGTAGGGTGGGCATTGCACATGGACATCCGTATTGGAACTATTTCAACTCATTTTCTAAAGCTCATCTGCTGGTGGTGGCAGCTTTCCTGGTGTGTGCTGTGTGCTGGAGCAGTGCTCATTGCTTGGCAGAGTCCTGCAGCTCTGTGTGTTCCCCTCCTCTCCAGGGATTTCTTAAGCAGCCAGCTAACTCTGCTGTGGTTCAAGCAGTGCTGGAGAAGCTCAAGGACCTTAGAGTGTTAATGGACCTTAAAGTCCGTGGTGTTTCTGAACACCCATTTTCTTTCATTTGTCTAGTGACTAAATCAGATGCTGGGCAATAGAGAATAGAAGACACTGTGATGTCAATATTTTCCTTAAAGAGAGGTTTGACTATTTTATTTTTTCTAATATTATTGAGTCAAATACAGAAGCCTGTACTGAACTTCTGTTCAAGAAGATCAAACTCCATAGGAATTGACTTCAAAACTTAGTGAGATACCAGAAAATGACAATTGATTTTAGTCACTGCAGAAACTTGATTTTTCATGTGTCTGCCAGATTTTCTATTGCAAAATGCATTAAGTAAGTAACTGAGGTGCACTTAAATTTACTAAGGCACAGAGCTCTAACCTCTTTCTGAGATGGAGAAACTATAAAGAACAGCATCAATGTATACATTGTAAAGATGTGTCTCTCAGGACTGCTGTGGAATCAATATAGTGATGTGAGACATAAATATTTTGAGCTTTGGAGAAACCTCAAAATTTGGCTTGCTACTTGCTGACTTACCCTTGTTTTAAGGGTATGTGATGCTTCACAATGAAAGATAATTCTACCCATAGTTCTTGTAGGAATAGCAAAAGGCAAAGTTAGCCTAAATGTGATTTGTTCTTGCTGACAATTAACATTAAAAAGATACAATGATACAAAATACTAAACATGTATGTGCATATGAATCTAATATGAACCAGCAAAATAACAATAAAAAAGTTACTCTCCAAAGGAAAGTTACTGTCCAAAGAAAATCTCTTGGTGGTGTCCATGTAAAGATATATTTATATATATTACATTGCCACTGAAGATGAAAAGCAATGAAAAATATTGTAATGCAACAAAACACTCAAGAAATTGTATCAAATAGTTGAAAAAGTGCTACTGAAAAATTTCGTTTTGTGTATCAGGCATTACTCAAGGATCACAGAATATACGACTTTGTGGATTAAATTTTACTGAGTGTTAATTTGTCATAAAATTGATAAGCTTTTGATTGAACTCATGAATCAGTCTTAAGGCTGTTAGACTTTTTAAGTTCCTCTAACTTTCTCTATGCATTGATACAGCTTGCAACAAAGTAAGATATATAAAGAGATATCTTTTGGAACACATCAGAAGGTAAAGTACATATCCATATATCATTTACTATACACTATTTTGATTTCTGTGATGAGATCTTGGCCTTTTTCAAATCAATTGTATCTTAAAAATGGCTTTCTTGTATCCTTATCCCCTTGCTTGAATAAATCCAGCTCCTTGGTTTCACACAGGTGTGACTGTGAGGAGGACATGAGCTGTGCTTCATGCCAAAAAATACTCCTCTCAGGGCAGAGCTGCAGTGCTGTGACATGCACTGGTGCTAGAGAGTGTCACAAGCCTCAAGTGCCAGAAGGAAGCAGATGAGAGCAGAGACTGAGATCCTGCACATTCTAGGAGATTATTCTTTTGAATTTGTCTTCTTCCTTGGTCTACAGTGGCATATTGTTGATTTGTGATATCAATGTCAACAGAAGGTATATTGGATATTTTTTCTTTTCCTGAGCCACATTTTTTTTCTTTAAAAATGCTTCCTAAATTCTCACCACCCAGCTGCTCTGCTTCAGACACCAAAGCACAGAGATCACCATTTAGACGTGCATCCAATTTTGTATGGGAGAGATTTGTTCATTTTTATACAAAACAATTTACTGGCATGTTGTTGCTTTCTTTGTTTTGATGCCAAACTCTTCCCTTTTGATATCCAGTATTTCCACAGGAGCGTGCACCATTGCCTGATTTTTCCTAGTGTATAATGGGAAGGCAGCACTGCATTGCAGCTCTCTCTGAGAGGCTTCCAACTGGCAGGGACATCACCCCATGCCCACAGCTCCTGCCTTGCTGGGGGCAGGCTCTGGCACTGGCACTGGTTTTTGGGGTATGTTGGTAGAGGAGAAAATACAGTGTAAATGAATTAGAAAAGAGAAATGGGAGAAGGCAGGAAGCAGTCATTCAAAAAGAGTGGTGGAGAAGCATGAGAGGACCTCAGAAGAAATGAGAAGAGAAAGAAGTTGACAGAGTCCTCACATTTTTTTCATTTATTTGCTATTTTTGTCTTTTTTTTCCTCCAGTGCTTTTCTTTCCTTTCCTTCCTTCTCCCTTCCGTCCCCTCTTGCTCCTACCCTGCCCCCCCCCTTCCCAATCAGCCTGTAATCCAGCAGTCTATGTCCAAAAATGAGGGTCTTTCTGAATCCAGAAAGACATGTTCCACCTACCTGGATAGCAGCAAGCAAAACTTAGCAGGGATGAAATCAGTGAGCACAGGCAGTAAGATGCTCAGATTGTGGAACGTAAATGTGGGGTAAATAAACATCACATTTCTGTCAGTCTGTAAATGAAATACCACTTATGGCTTAGGTAGAAATTCACAGTCCACAACCTGCTTGTGAAGGGGAGGGGCAGACAGTGATCTCCTCACTCGGTGACAGGACCTGAGGGAATGGCCTGAAGTGGTGTCAGGACAGGTTTAGGATGGATATCAGGAAAAGGTTCTTCACCCAGAGAGTGTTTGGGCACTGGAACAGCTCCCCAGGGCAGTGGTCACAGCACCAGCCTGACAGAGCTCAGGAAGTGTTTGGACAATGCTCTAGGGAACATGGTGTGATAAATGGGGGTGTCCTGTGCAGGGTCAGGAGTTGGACTTCATTACCTTTGTGTGTCCCTTCCAACTCGGCATATTCTGTGATTCTGTGATAATGCCAGATATTGGCATTTAAAAGCAGATTTCTTGTTGATTCCCATGTGAACTGTTTGCTGTCAGGGACTGCTGGGAGTACCAGGCAGATTTGACTGACAAATGCAGTACATGGACTCACAGCATGCCAAAGGCTCCTGACAGGCTGCTGTGTATTAATACATTTATTCATTTCTACATATTCCTAACATCTAGAGCAAGTGACAGAAAACCACTAAGCTGTGCAGAGTGCGTCTAATATTTTTTGATTAGCTGACAGTGTTTGTGAAGCTGCTAATACCTCTTCATCCAGAAGAGGACATTTCTCAAATGAAATCCCAATAACCCTGAGTTGGATGTGCAGTTTGTGACTGATTGCAGTAGCTCGGTCACAGTCAGTAAATAATACTGTCTGGTGCTGTGTGGCTGCAATGCTGTTTCCTGTATTTCTGAAATGTTTATGCTCTGTCAATCAAGGGACAGCAGATGCCATTAAAACCGTCTCAGCATTTTCCAGCTGCACAAGAATTGCAGTATCTCTTCCAAGCACAGCAAAACATCATGGCTTGCTGAGACCTCCTCTTTTAATTTTGTGTGTAGCTGTAGTTAATTTTTTTCTGATGAGCCTATGGTCCAAGCACAATCTGTCAGAAGAGAAGGTCACTGTGTGTCTCTAGACAAGTTACAAGATGTTACTGACTTAAACTCAGGGCAATGCCCTCCCATCTCAGTGGTAATTCACTGTGGGATGGGCTGATGGCTGTTACAGGTGGGTAAGGAGTAAAGGCAGAGCTCCTTGGGGATGGATATAATTTATATGTAATTATATCTCTGCCCTCTGGACAGAGCTCATTGTGGTATATGATATGATCAGATAAGGTATGACACCTTTGCTGGTAAAACACCTACATTTCATATTTGTTTCATGAATATATTGGAGAGAGAAGACTTCATTCATTTTTATCAGGTCAAAGGCTGTGGCTCAAGGGCTCTTTCATCCACACACCCATCACTTTTCTCCAAATCACATATGTGAGTGGGAGGGAGAGACTTTGCAGCATCCCCAAAAGATCCATGAACCTTTAGCCAAGGATTTGGGTTCCCAGGATGAGACAGATGGGGTGGAGGAGCATTAAATGAAGGAGAGCCAATACCATGTACTTTCATGTGATCTCATTTGGACTCTCCCAAAAAGCTGGCTAACTGTCCACTAAAAGTCAGTAAAGACCTGCAAGTGGAATTTCAGCCTCCTGTAGTAATTTTAACAAACACATAATAAAATATGACAGGGAGCAAACTGGCAAAAGGGGCAGGCACAATATGCTGTCAGTACTTTTATGACCCAAATTTGCATTATTTCTTGGCTTGTAAGCCATATAAAATATTCTTACTGTGTCATGTGTTGTAAAATCTGCCCCGTGCATTAATACAAATAGAATAATGGAGCCAAGTGCCAAGTCTTGGAATTGCAGCATTAAAGATGGAAAAAAAAAATCTTGGCTCAGGGAAATTGCAGAAATGCTGGTTTAGCTGCCATTGCTGTTTCATTGTTGCAGCTGTCTGAGTGGTGAGAAGGAGAAAGAGACCATGCACAAGCAGTGGTGTGCAGGCTTCCCTTTCTTCCTTTGCCCTTTTAACACTGGCCATGCAGGCTGAGGGACCCCTGTAGCCTCGTGGGCTGCTCAGCAGACCCTTCCTGGGCACCAGTGTGGAGCCAGTGGTCCCTAGAGAGGGATGTGGTGGTGCAGGAAAATAATGAGGTCTGTATGAAATAGCCTTTGGGAAGGTAAAATAATATCACTGAATTTGGTGTTGCCACCCTCCTACACCTCTACCAGACCTGGGAGAGAAAGCAGAAATGAGGAAGAAGCTGAAGGGTCAGATACTGAACAGCAGCCATTTGAAGGCTGCTTTGTGTTATGTTAATCCAAGGGCTGTTACAGAATCACAGGTAGAATCTCATATTTAGCCTTGAACCCTTTCCATGAGGTGGAATAATGTATTGTCTTCCCACAGGCTTTGAGTTACAGCTACAATATGTGCTTTTCTCTGAGCCAGTTTCTAGATGTGATGCTGTCACTGCCTTTCAGGCTGACTGGACCTTGGATCTTTCTGAAGCATTGCACATGCCATAAATCATCCTTGCAGCTTCTACCCCATTTCCTAGAAACCATAAGCGTGAAAGAGTTCGAAGTAGTTTCTCTAGCTCAATATTATTTTTTGACAGCATCAAATGACATGCATTTCATGGAAAGAGACTTCCCTTGCTCCTGAATTTTGAACTCTAGAACTTCAGGTATTTTTTAAAATAAAGTATTTGAAGGGCATCTTAGGTCCTGAGACCTTATTTTATTCCAGGTAGTGTAACCTCAAATATACAACTGAGTATGCATTTCTTCAGTTTATACAGCTGCGATCTTACATACTTGGATTGTGTATCTTTGGGAGAAAAAGTGCTGAATAAATAATTCCAGATGCCAAAAAGCTGGTTAAATACTCACTGAACGAATTCCTTATGAACCAGAATGATCCTGGTGTCAGACAGCATGGCTTTATAAGCCTCTTCTGTGGAAGGCAAAACAGTTATTTTCTTATTTCCTTAAATATTTCAGGGGGGATGGAGTAAAAGTCTTGCTGTTCTGCAGTGATGGAGAGCATTGAATGAAATGAAGGGCACAACGAACTTAAGGTGGTTAAAAGAGAACATGACTTTTTTGTAAACACCCCACTTCCCTTGGGACACTAATTTTCACATTCTGAGGTTTTTTTTAAAGGCTGAAACATAGCTACCGAAATCACAGCACTGTTTTTCCTTGCTGGGTATTTTAAAGATTAAATTAGCTCCAGTTAGAGGTATAGAAAGAGAGCTGGCTGGTGGGTAGGTTTGGGGGGGGTATGTGTGTGTAGTTTCTATAATTTATTTATATATTTTATGCTTTTGCCTTTGGCATCACACACTTTTGCACTGACTTTTTTTTTTTTTGTATTGACTGAAGAATCAAAACAAATAATAGATAATCTTTATATGTAGATTTCTTTTAGGTCCCTGAATGTGAAGGAAAAGTTAGATTTTAGCATTTCAGTCTTGATAGTGAATTTAAAAGCTCATCAGAAGCATTCCTAAGCAACACACAAATTTACGCATAAGTATGTCACATTTAATGTATCTCAAGCCACAAAACTAAAGTTCTGACAGTGTTCAGTGAATGAAAGGTTAATAAAAATGCAAGTGTTAATCTGGTTCTGTTCTAGTTGCATATTCTGGTGCAGTAATGTACTCTTGGCTCTTAGGCTGTCTCTATAAATGGGAGTCTATTGCTTCTGGAATTTCATGTATCTAGCCATATACAGACTGACTGGACAGCTGTCAGAGCATTATTGTGCAGGCTTTTAGCTCTCTGTTAGCAAAGGTAACCTCTGCTAATCTGTCCAGGAGCTGCTGCATTCCAGAGATGTGCAGGGAGAACAGGCAGATGGGACTGTGGGGCTTTGCCAAAAGCATTTGCAGCAGAACTGCTGAGTTTTGTTGGCTTGCTTTCACTGTATTGTCACCTGCTGAAAACATCTGTATTCTCCATTTAATGTGTCAATTAATCTCAAGAAGATTTATGGTATATAGAAAGGGTTTATAAAACACAACTGTTCCTTGAAAGCAAATACTGAAATGAGGCTGGAGAGGTGGCTCCAATTTTTTTTGCTCTGGCTTTTCTGCCTTGTCATAGTAGTAATGACTGAGCAAGAACGGGAATGGCATAACAAACTTTAGAGTTCCAAGAGCCTTTAGGGCCACTGAGAGTCCCTATGAAAATAAGCACTGAAGGAATCTGAGGACTGGGGTAGGGGATCTGTGTGCTGGATGTGCCACGGCTGTTTTATGCTCTGTGCTTGGGGTGATGGGTGGGAAGAAAACATCTCTGCACCAGTGGCTCTCTGCTGCTCAGGTGGCACTGACTGCAGCCTTCTGTGCCCTCTCCACAATGTCCTTCTCACTCCAATGCCCGTTTCTCCAAGTGTTAAAATGGTTCCTCAGACCTGAAAACAGACAAGAGATGTAATGGGAGCAACTGAAAAGTGGTAATGAAGTAGGAAAGGGGGGCTGATGGCAATAGCCACGTCTATAGAGAGAAACTGCTGCAAAGATGCTTTGTTGGAAAAAATCTTATCTTCCATGTCTTGAAACTTTTCCTCTCTTCAACTCCTATAGAAAATCAAACAGTGGTTTGGCTTGGAAGAGACCTTAAAGATCATCCAGTTCCCACTCCCTGCCATGGGCAGAGACAACTTCCACTAGACCAGGTTGCTCAAAGCCCCATCGAACCTG